AAATAAAAATCTACTCTGGTGTTTTTTGGGAGTAACATATATTTTATATATGTAGATTTATTTGTCTGTCTATTTTTCTGAGATGAGTTATTGTAACTATTTAACATTGTCCAGAGTGTTGTTCTTATTTTTAATGTCATATTCACAATGTTTTGGCTGTTGTACACTCCAACCTTCTTCAGGTGGTATTAGTTAAAATTTTATTTCATCCACTGAGGTAGATTGTTCTAATTCCACATGCCTTTTCTGTTTCAATTATTTCCCTTTAATAACTCAACTCTCCAAGTTTTCGTTCACCTCTGCTGTGGCCCAGCATTGAACTCATAACTCTTTGGGTAAAGTGACTCTTTTATTCTCTAGGCAATGTGTCCTTGGGGACATAAAGAGAAATAACTGAAACTGAGATATCCAGAAAGGACATGGCACATAGAACTAAAAGGTATTCCAATAACTTCAATTGATTTTAAATGTCAATTAAGTTTAAGCATTGAATGATTTTTTTATTTTTCTTTCAGATTTAACAACCAGCTTTTAGCAATTTCAACCTTGAAAAGATTAACAATCAAACAATATGTTAAAGTTATTGAAGCCTATTACAAAAATGGATGTTCAAACAGAAAAGCAATGAGAAGTTCACAGGTCACATCATCTCTCAAAACAGCAAAGTCAATTGGCCACCACGATTGTGTGACTTGACCCCTTTAGATTTCAAAAGTAAGGTTTATGCCAACAAGCCAACAACAATGCAACAGCTGAATGATGAGATAATAAGGTATATTGGTGAGATCAAAGAGCAGCTATGCAGAGATCTCATCAAAAATTTTGACCATTGATTGGAGGAGTGCTGCCAAAGCCTTGGTGGACATTTTATTTTTTATTTTATTTATTATTTTTCACACATAATTGCCATGACTTAAATAACATGATCCAATAGAGAAATAAATAAATTTTCACTAATAACACTGATTTATTTACTGCTGACTTTGATCCATCTTAATGAAAAACCCTATAAAACAATCTACCATGGTGGATGAAATAAAGGGTCCAGTTCAAGATTCCAACATATATCAACTAAAAAAGGCCAGAGTGCGCAGCAGCTGAAATGTCATGAATATGACAATAAAGATGAAGACAACAGTCTGAATAATGTAAGTAGTGTAAATAGGTTTATTTGTATTTTACATATCTATTCAATTTTAGAAAATCTTTCATTTATTATTGGAAACCCCTGGATGCAAACAAGAAATCCTGTTATCAAGAATTCTCAAACTTGATCTTTAATCCGGGTGTATTTTGAATTCAATATTTTTTTCTTTTTGCTAGCACCAGTCTTTTATTTTTTTAAACATTTCTTAGGCATTATTATTCTGTTAACATTCCAAGAAGATGTTCTTGTAATTGGCTTGGAAGATTTTACATGTCTTGTTTTTTTTATATCTTAAGATATATCTTCTTCATATCTTAAAAAAATACACCTTAATATTAAATCATATTTGCTAGCCTAGTGATAAATAAATAAAAAGCAGGTAAATATTTAATTTCTGTCAGCATAATAAACAAACCCATAAAAAATATGAAAATGATTCTAACAAGATATTTGAGTTGATTTAATGGCCTTGATATAATGTTATCTGAAATGATGAATAATTAAAGACAGCTTCCCTGGCATGTAAGCATTGCCCGATCAGAAGCTACTGATTTCACTAGATAGCATGGAATGTGAAGCCTTTGAAAATGTGGAGCCTTTGAAAATGTGGTGCCTTGTGGGGTACTTTCACTTTTGGTTTATTGATTGTTCTAAAAGCCTGTTGTATTATGGGTAGATTTTGTTCAGGATATAAACTGCATATTTTAAAGTAATGAAAATGTATAAAATATAAATGTTAACTTTTGTAATTTGTGGTTTGAATTTATTTAAATAATTTATTTCTGGAATCTATGTATAATTGATGCTATAACAGGTATAACCTTTAAATGCCTTGGTTTTCATCCATTTTCTTATTTACATTTCTGAATATAATGCGTCCTTCTGGTGGGGCAGGTTTTTTTCTAAGAAATGTTTCATTTGAAATTGACTGCAATGTTTTTCAACTTTTGCAGCAAATGCATACAAAAGTGCCAAGTATTTCTTTTATTTTTCATGTTTCGTTTTGCTTTTAGAATGAAATTTAATTAACCTTCTGTAAATGTTAGTGTAGTATTGTATGTAAATGAAATACTGCTATAACAGCAGAATGCCACAGTGAATGCTAGTCGAGATACCTGACATTACCTGAGATTATTCTATTTCATAACAATATGGCATCACTGATAGGATCCCTAACTGTGTTGGATGAGCCGGAGAATGTAGAAACTTTGATTAGATGTTTAACAGTGTTGGACAAGGTAAAGAACCTGAAAGATAAGAAAGGCTTCGAAGGGGAGAAAGAAATTACTGATTTATTTTTGGCTTCAGCAGGATGTGAAGCCATAAAGAAAATATGCATTATAGTGTACCCCAAAATACTGGAAGACTTAACATATGAGGAAATTTTAACCCTTATAAAAAGAAACATGCAACCAAAAAAGAAGCTGGTTATTGCAAAGAGAACAACATTCCTGGAAAATAGACAGAACCCAAATGAAACTGTAATGCAATATTTATACAGATTGAAAGAAGCATCAAGATATTCTGAATTTGAAAAACTGAGTTTGAGAGAAATGTCTATGGAAAACAAATTGATCCTTCTAAGACTAACTCAAGTCATGTATGATGATAGTGAAATAGCATCCTCCAGTTTGACCAATCAGCATGTGACTTGCTATTGGTAGCAATAGCTAGTCTTGTGCTGATTGGTCAAACCACATTAAGCTGTACAAAAGCCACCATTACAGAATATACACTTTTGGAATAATCTAAAGTAGGGAGGAAAGATTCATGGAACAAAATGCTGCTGCTACATGTCATGTATTGAGGTAAGGAACTTATTTTCCTTTGCACTGAATGCGAGCCACTCTGACTTGCTTGTTTCTACGTAATTGTTCACCAAAAACAGCTACAAGTGAATAATATGAATTTTGAAACCAGTGTAGAATTCTTGCAACAATTAGAATTAATTAATGAATTTAATAATTCAAAAAACAATGTGGAAGCATACAGCACAACTAAATTCCTAATTAAGAACTGAAAAAACAAAAAAAAATGTCCAGCCCTAGGAAAATTATGTTTAAACCATAAAATAAAAGATCATTTCCAATCTGTTTGCAGATAAAAAAAAGAGAATAGAAAGGGTAGAAAATATAAACCTTCATACTGAAAATACAGAAGTTTATTCAATAAGAACACCTGCAAAAAGTAGAGAGACAGTAAAAAATTAGAAACACCTGAAAGTTCAGAAGATAAAATACTGCACTGTGTTGAAAAGGATGTGTTACCTCTAAATTGTCTCAGAATAGGAGCCATATAAGATCAAAAGCAGAATTTCAGACAGAATAAAAAGAAGCAATTGTTCAATGGTAAAAAGACCCTACAAAGAATCAAAGTTAACTGTAGAGAAAGGCATAATATGCAATGTAGATATTATAATAACCCCTACAAAGTTTAAGAAAAGAAGTACTAAAAGGTATACACAATAATTTACATTGTGGTATAACGGTGAAACAAATGAGATTAAAATTATAAGTGTTGTGGCCAGGATATTCTCAAGATATTGAAGACCATGTAAAAAGATACCCAAAATGTGCTGAAATAAAAAAAAATTTGGCAAAACAAAATTCACTTGTGGCCTAAAGAGAAAGAACTATGGCCTTGTGTATACATGGATCATGCCCATATTAAAGGCATGGGGCTATTTTTTTTTTAATTTTAGTGAACTCATTTTCAGTATGGCTCAGAGTAATTAAGGTTACTAACAGAAAAGCCAACACTGTAAAACAAATATTAAGAACAATATTTTCAAGTCATGGGGTGCCTAAATCTTTGGTCATAGATAATGTGATAGAATTTTGTGAGGTAAGTTTGTGCTCATGGCTAAAGTGTATAGGATGCATCCTGTATAAAACACCATCTTACTACCCACAATTGAATGGAGTCACAGAAAGAATGGTGCAGGCTGTGAAAATGGGACTAAAAGGATTTTCCCCATCTAATGATAATATAGAGAGTTACTTACCAAGATTACTGTTAAGCTATAGGACAATTCCACATGCCGGCAGACTACAAAGTCCCTCTGCATTAATGGGTAGACAGATTAGAGCTCTCATAACAATGTCATTTTCAACAAGTGAAAGTGTATGGCATAAAAAAGACAAAGAATCTAATCCAGAAAAGGCGAACTTTGTAGTACAGAAAGGACACACCACAGCAATAATAACAAAAAATGGACAAAATGTACTGGTCCATATGAATCAATTCAGAAGCAGAATGGAACCTGATGATATCAAAATGGACAAAGAATCTGAAGCTGAAAAACATGAAGGGGAGGAGGGGATTAATGAATCCAGTACTGAAACAATAATCTATGGATGATAATAACTAGAAATCTGATGAGGAGTTGGAAGAGGAAAATGAACTCAGGCCTAGGTGGTCCCCTATATGAAGAAATCAAGCTACATACCAAGAAAGACAGTTTAGATTCCCAAGAATAATTAGAAGAAATCAAAGATCAACAAAGTCCATTTCAGTTCAGGGAGGTGTAGTATTTTATGTAAATGAGATACTGCTATAGAAGCAGAATATGGCAGCAAATGTCAGTCGGATTACAATCTGTTGACCTAATGTCTATTCCACAGATTATTCTACTTCATAACAGATTTCTGCTTAGAATTTGTCTTAATTTTTTGAAATTATAATTTCCAAATGAGTTTTTTCCAAAACTGAAATATATTGTGCAGCTACAACTGCACTACTGTTTGGCCTGATGTGCATGTAATGTGATTAGCTTTATGGGCATATGCAAAAGTCTGGAGTTTTACAGTGCATTTTCCACTTTCCTGAAAAGTAGCATCTGGTGTACAAAAAGTGGTCTCATACTTACTCACTGCACTCACTCACTGCCCTCAGTCAATCAGTCACTAACTCACTCACTCACTCACTACCATCCTTCACTCTCTCACTCCCTCACTGTACTCCTTTGGGGGCACTCAAAAAAACTGCTCTCACCACTCCTCAAACTTTTGAACTGTCTCTTCCTCTCTACCATCCTTCACAACTCTCCCTCACTGTACTCCTTGCTCACTCCTCCACTTGCAAATGCTCATCTGTTGTTCCTCCTTTAAGAACTCCACTCACCATCACTCACTCTTCCACTACCATCCTTGTTTTTCCTCCCTACTGTACTTCCTTAAACTAATTAAATGAAATGCTCTTAAAAACTCACTCACTACCATCTTCACTAAATTTCACTTCCCAGACTGTAGATAACCTTTAACTCATTCACTTGCATACTTCTCTGGTTTGTCACTCACTCATTACATAAACAGATACCATCCTTCACTCTTTCCTCCTCACTGTACTTTATTAACACTCACTCTTGCATACTGCTTTACTCACTCAAAGTCCTCACTACCATCCTTCCTCTTTCTTTCCCTCACTGTGACTCCTTACTCACTCAAATTTAGCATACTGCTTTTCTCACTCACCCACTTTCACTCACCACTTACTATCCTTCACTCTCTCACTTCCTCACTGTACTCCCTTACTCACTCATCTAGCATACTGCTCTCCTCAAAAACTCTCTTCTCTCACTAACTCACTTGTGACCATCCTTCACTCTCTCACTCCCTCACTGTAAACCTTATCACTCACCAATTGCAATTTGCTCTCAATAAACACTCACTCACTCACTCACTCACTCACTACCATCCTTCACTCTCTCACTTCCTCACTGTACTCCCTTACTCACTCACTCACTTGCATACTGCTCTTACTCACTCACTGCCCTCAGTCAATCATCTATTTACTCATTACCCTCACTCACTGATCTCACTGACTCCCTCATTCACTGCACTAAATAACTCACTGCACTCCCTTACTTGCTTACTTGCATGTTGCTCTCACTCACTCAGTGAACTCACTCACTGCCCTCAATCAGTCAGTCATTAACTCACTCCCTCATTGCCCTCACTCACTGTTCAAAACTGATACCCACATTAACTGCATCACTCACTCATCCATTGCACTCACTCACTCACTTATTCACTCACTATCAAATGAACATTAATATCCTTAACCCCTTCCCCAACGTAGTTGTGTATATATGTTTTTACTGAAATTTTCTTTTTCAGACACAGATGAATAAACATGTTCAAAACATAACATTCAAAAACTAGCTACAGATATGTTTATACATCAATCTTGATTCATTTTATGCTCTTCTGAGCTTGAAATGAGTCCAATACATCTAGTAGAGGTGTTAACCCCTGCTCAGGCACTTCATGGTGACTCAGTTTCTTAGTTACTATATTAAAAACAAATAAAATGTATTTGTCTGAAAATGAAATGTTTTCCCCAAAATAATTCGTGGGGAATGGGTTAAACCCTGTTTCAAATAGAATAAGATTTCTGTTTCATTTTGTTTATTCCTGTGTTAAAACTATTCCAACCAATTTAGCATGAGACATTTTTGTTTATCTGCACACAACAACCTCAAGGAAGAAAAATTGATCAATATTAGTATATTCCCATTTGGAAACCATTCTTTATATATTCTAATTTGGAAACCATTCTTTATATATTCACATTTGGAAACCATTCTTTATATATTCTCATTTAAAAACCAATTCTTTATATATTCTCATTTGGAAAACATTCTTTATATATTCTCATTTGGAAACCATTCTTTATATATTCTCATTTGGAAACCAATTCTTTATATATTCTCATTTGGAAACCATTCTTTATATATTCTCATTTGGAAACCATTCTTTATATATTCTAATTTGGAAACCATTCTTTATATATTCTTATTTGGAAACCATTCTTTATATATTCTCATTTGGAAACTATTCTTTATATATTCTCATTTGGAAACCATTCTTTATATATTCTCATTTGGAAACCATTCTTTATATATTCACATTTGGAAACCATTATTTATATATTCTCATTTGGAAACCATTCTTTATATATTCTCATTTGGAAACCATTCTTTATCTATTCATATTTGGAAACCATTCTCTGAATATTCTCATTTGTAGACCACTCTTTATATATTCTCATTTAGTAATGTTTCGTGTTATTTTCTCATATGGTAACCATTTTTATGTTTTTCTAAAACTACCCTTGTTTTTTAATATTTATATTTTACATTAAATTTTTACACTACTCTGTAAGTTTTTGCTCAAGTTTTTTAATGGTTGCAATATTTACACTTTGTTTCATCTGAAATCCTGCTATTTACTTGCATATTTCATATCCTCACTCCACAATATTTCCTTCTAATTATTGAGCTATATTTTAAACTTTTTATATTGTCCAAATCCTGATTTACAGAGAACCAACTTGTAATATTTTCTTATTATTACCCACCGAGAAATATTAAAAGAAATGTTTGTTCTTTCGCAAAATCATAAGAATAGGTAATCATGTTGAGATGCTCTAAAGATATCCTCACTTTATTCTTGTCTCCTATAGACTCTTGTAAATATTGCTGAATTTAATGAACAGAAGATAGTTAATTAGATAATCTTACAATCTTCAATAATCATCTAAAAGACATAGGTTCTGTAACTAGTCATATTTCTCTGCAAATATGATTAGCTGAACATTAAAAATATACACTATATGAACATGATTAGTTTAAGAACCATTTATTGAGTCTAAGTTCAAACTTGGGTGCTTTATTTATTTAGATAAAGAGAAAACTGTATATTGAATTATGCTCTGAAGTAATTAATCTTTTATCTTCAGTTGACTGGTTGACAAAATCAAATTTGACAATACATCATATCAATGATTTTGGATGTTATTTTAAGTGGAACCAAATTAAATATCCCTATTATTTATATCTATATCTATAAGATATATATATATATATATATATATATATATATATATATATATATATAGAGAGAGACAGGAGAGAGAAAGAGAAAGAGAATTAATACAAATGTAAAACCATTCTTTTTGCTAGTTGATGTTATATTCAGCACCTCTACTTCAGTGTTTCATAAATTAAGCTTTGTATAATTGTTCTGCCCTTCCATATATTAACTGTAAGGGA